TTCCCGGTAACGATCATGATATCACAACCAAGGTCTATATAAGTACTTATGTAGACCTTGATCACAACATTCTCAGACCAGACACATGCGCCTGTCTACCCGATGTACACTGAAAATATACTGAGGGAGGATTGTTATAAGCATCTTATTAGCATCCGAAAGGATACTGTTATTCTAGAATTGCATAATTAGGCAATAGTTTAATATTTCAATGCTGAATAAATATGTTTTGATGTTGAGATAATATTCATTATACACTTTTAGCTGTAAGGCAGAGGTTCTTATTAGCATCCTAAAGGATACTGTCATTCTAGAATTGTATATTTAGGCAAAAGTTATCCACCAATATCTTGTGGTTACCTGCAACTGTCAATGTTTACAAACAAAATGCACTATGACGTCATCTCGTCCTGCTCGGCCACCTTCGCAGGAGGCCGAGTTGGACGAGCCAGACGACTTGTCCGGGACGAGACAGAGGAGGTTCCGAACGGTCAAGACATCTCGTCCAACGGGTCTGGACCAGATGGACGAGCAGTTCCGAACGCACCAAAATTTACAGTAATCTCTTCTGTCAGAAGCATGGAGATGGAGCTAGATGGCTAGATGGCTAATTCCTTTATCGGAAAGCGCACATTCAGTCACCACCTTTAAAAAAAAGAGGGGAAAAAGACCCCAAAAGAAGGAAAAAAATCCCCAGAAGAAAATAAAAAAACCCACAAAGGAGGGAAAAAATCCCCAGAATAAAGGAAAACGCCCCCCAAAATAGGGAAAAATCAACGGAATACATGCATACGATTCCTTAAATTTCCCTGCACAAAGAATGGGAAATAATTCTTCATTGACATTAAGTGAAACTTGGTACCTGACCTCTATATCAGTTTCTAATAAACTTAATACACATTCTTCTTGTGAAGAAAAAAATATATGTCTAAACCATGACTTTCTTTGCTTGATACATTTTTTTTTCCCTAAATCACGGATTGTTTTAGGGGAGAAGACCATTGAAGGCCCCTATAAGCTGTTTGTCTTCAAAAGTCAAAATACTTGCAAAGGAAAAGAAAGAAAAAGAAACTTTTTTTTTTTCCTCACTTTGTTAATATGTGTTGTCTGTTTGTCTTCAAAAGTCAAAATACTTGAAGAAAGAAAAGAAAAAAAAGAAAAAGAAAACGAAAAGCAAAAATGATTGTTAACACATCTCCCCTTTTATCACTAGTCTCTTATCTAAACAAAGGACTTCCATATACTAAGAAAAGGACTTTTGTAAGATATGCAGTTTTAGGGTAAAATAACACGTACTCGCTTGTCCTTGCCCTAAAGCTCTGGGGTAAGGGCTAGACAACTAAATCAGGGGAGTGCCGTGCCCATGGTTCCCGCAGACCGTTCAGGACTGGCACGAGGTCAGCCTTTCATCCTCAGCATAGCTCTTACACCTTAGGAAGCAGATAGTAGAAGGGGTTGGGGAAGGGACGGAAACAAAAGCTGGAGGGGGAAAAGGCCATGCAAAATTAGTTGAGTCGAGGGCTCAGTCAGTCTCCTAAGCCTCCCACGACAACAACGGGCAAGGGATTGGGGGGGGGGGAGAGAAAAGGGAAATAAAACAGTAAAAACATTGCAAAAAATTCTTTATTATTGAATAGGCAAGCTGACAAATGCACACATGTGCGTATGCACATATGTACGCCAAACATTTTTTTTTATGATGTGTGTGTGTTTACATGTGTACATACATGAACCTTTTCCGTAAAATTCACACATGTACGCGTATAATGACTTATTTCTCTCTCGCCATGTGTACACGCCAGATACACACACATACATACATACACACAATAGCTTTGTGCGTTTAAATCCTTGAATACGCATACAAGAGACTTCAATTACGCACACGAAATGCTATGTGTACATAGTCATACTCGAAACGCTGTGTGTACACTGCTAAACCTCTCTCAATCTTATATTATCTCTTATTCCTCCCTTCTTATCATCTTCTCTCTTCTTTCCCTTTTTTAACAGCTCTTATTGTTTCCTCTTCTCCTCATGGATTACTTTTTATCTTAATTTCTTCTTTATTATCATTTATCTATTTCTTCTTTTCATACTCATTACATGCATCTCCTCTTCTCCCTTATCTTACATCTTTATCATCATTATCTCTTCTCTTCCCTTTTCTCATTTCTTATTTATCAGGTTTTTCTCTTCTCTTCCCTTCCCTTACGTCTTACTTATCATACGTTTCTCTCCTTCCCCCTTCCCTTACACCTAAATTCTATAGTATTCTTTAGTTACCCTTTTATTGCTGCCTTGCGTTTCTCCTCCTCCTCCTCCTCCTCTTCTTCTTCCTCCTCCTCCTCCTTCTCCTCCTCTGCCTCCACCTCCTCCTCCTCCTCTGCCTCCTCCTCCTCCTTTTCTTCTTCCTCCTCTTCCTCTTCTTCTTCTCCTTCCTCCTCCTTCTATTCTTCCTCCTCCTCCTCCTCTATTTCTTCCTCTTTTGTTCCTCTTCCTCCTCCTCCTCCTCCTCCACTTCTTCCTCCTCCTCCTCAAGTATATTGAGAAATTTTGCTTCTCATTAAAAGAAAGAAGGAAGAAGGAGAAAGAGAAAGAGAAAGAGGAGGAGGTGGAAGACGAAGAAGAAGAAGAAGAACACGAAGAAAAGGCCAAAAGATGATGAGGAGGAGAAAGAGGAAGAAGTAGTAGTAAAGTAGAAGAAGAAGAAGAAGAAGAAGATGGAGAAGAAGGAGAAGAAAAAGAAAAAGAAAT